TACAGGCACGCGCCACCATGCCCAGCTAATTTTTTGTAGTTTTAGTAGAGACGGGGTTTCACCATGTGGACCAGGATGGTCTCGATCTCTTGACCTTGTGATCCACCCGCCTCAGCCTCCCAAAGTGCTGGGATTACAGGCTTGAGCCACCGCGCCCGGCCTTATGGCATTATTTTTATTTTTTTGAGGTGGAGTTTCGCTCTTGTTGCCCAGGCTGGAGTGCAATGGCACAATCTTGGTTCACCACAACCTCTGACTCCTAGGTTCAAGCAATTCTCCTGCCTCAGCCTCCTGAGTAGCTGGGATTACAGACATGCACCACCATGCCTAGCTAATTTTTTGTATTTTTAATTGAGATGGGATTTCTCCATGTTGATCAGGCTGGTCTCAAACTCCTGACCTCAGGTGATCCGCTCGCCTTGGCCTCCAAAAGTGCTGGGATTACAGACGTGAGCCTCGCCTGGCTTTATGGCATTATAACGTTTTCTCTTTTTTAATTCTGCACCTTCGAATCAGATTTTTTTTTTTTTTTTTTTGAAACAGAGTTTTGCTCTTGTTACCCAGGCTAGAGTGCAATGGTGCGATCTCGGCTCACTGCAACCTTCGCCTCCTGGGTTCAAGCAATTCTCCTGCCTCAGCCTCCTGAGTAGTTGGGATCACAGGCGTCCGCCACCATGCCCAGCTAATTTTTTTGTATTTTTAGTAGAGACGGGTTTCGCCATGTTGACCAGTATGGACTCGATCTCTTGACCTTGTGATCCACCCACCTTGGCCTCCCAAAGTGCTGGAATTATAGGCGTGAGCCACCGGGCCCGGCCCAATTTTTTTTTTTTTTTTTTGAGATGGAGTCTCACTCTGTTGCCCAGTCTGGAGTACAATGGCCTGATATCTATTGGCTTACTACAACCTCTGCCTCCTGGGTTCAAGCAATTCTCCTGCATCAGCCTCCCGAGTAGCTGGGACTATAGGCGCCCGCTACTATGTCCAGCTAATTTTTGTATTTTTAGCAGAGACGGGATTTCACCATATTGGTCAAGCGACCGAACTCCTGACCTTGTGATCCACCCTCCTCAGCCTCCCAAAGTGCTGAAATTACAGGTGTGAGCCACTGTGCCTAGCCCACATAAAGCAAGACAAGTCTTTGATACTGCATCTCAGGAAAGAGGTGGCATGTACATAGTTTATCGATGGCTGGTCATTATAGGCTGGTGCTTTTCGGGGCAAGAAGTTGTGCTCCAGCGTCTTTTACATACTGAGGAGCAGGGAAGATAGGTGTTGGCTTTTAAATTTTTACTATTATATGTGTAGTATATGATCATGGTAAAAAGTTAAAATCATATTAAAGGTCACATAGAGAAATAAAAATTCTCAACTCAGTCTGTCTTGGAACTCTTTGGTCACATTTCTCAGAGATAACCACTATGAACCTTTATGTTCTTCAAGAAATTTTCCATGAATATACAGGCAATTGCTGTATGTATTTTCTCTCCTCTTATATATAAATGGCCTTGTATTTTGGGTTTTTTCCCTGCAGTTTGCTTGTTTTTCTCTCCTAATATGTCTTGGGCATCTTTCCATATCTGAGCATTTAGATCTAACAGAAAAGAATTCTGAGTAGATGGAAATAAGGATAAAAGCTCAAGATTGGAGACCATGGTGACTGACTGCCTTTTTTGTTTGGTTGTGAATTAATTTACTCCCATGTCAAGGGAAGTTAAAAAAAATACATTCCAAGTACACATGATTGGAATGTTTTGTCGTAGCTGCTCTTATTCAGTTGCTGACTCTTAATTGAGTTAGCAATTACAGAGACCTGGAAGGGGTTTAATAGATTGCCTTAGAGCTCATAAGCAGTGATTGGATTATTTATAAATTGGCAAATGAGAGCTGCTTTGTGATTCATTCAGAACCACTGAAATGTATAAATTCCTTAAAGTCTTGAAAAATGCTTTCTTGGTTTTTAAATCTGAGTTCAAAAATAACTTATAAAGAATTTACAGTGAACTAGTGTGTTAACATGGGCTTCATGAGTAATGCTCCTAAGAGTAAATATTAATAATTATCTAGTCAGTTATCATAATTTTTTTCTTTTTCAGGAGGTGGCTATTTATTGCTGATATAAACTTGTCAACTAAATTTTTTTAAGTTTTACCTTTTTCCAGAGGTCCTGTATTAGCTTGGGCCACCATTTTCCTTAAATAAGATTTGATGTGTGACATTATAAAGAACACATTTTTTTGCTTCAGGTATTTAGGCAAGATTAAAACATTAACACTTAAGATTTAAGCTGTTTGTCAGTTAAATCTATTACCTTTTTTTTTTTGACTTGATATAACCCTTTAGTTAAATTTGAGAATATGGGTTTGAATTATAGTCATAGTAGTATTTTTAGATTCTGTGAGCATATGAATTAGATAATGTTGCCAATTTGAAAACTTCATATCTAGGCGATTAACGTCTACTTTAAAAACTGGGATAAGAAACCAGCTAGGTTTCCTTCACATACATCTAGGGGCAGGTAGACAGATTTTATTGTGAAATATAGATCATTATATTTGAGTACTTAGAACTGTATATTCCATAGAAGGCAAAAGTGACCTATTAAGAATGTAACATGTCTTTTTGGGGGAGTATTCTGTGATCAGTAGTTTAGGAATCAAATTATCAGGTACATAGTGTTTAAAAAATAATTTGAACTATGTGAACTTAAACAGAAAGGAGTAGCTCATAAAATAGTTTTATATAAGACAACTTGGTTTCTGAAAGTACATTCTTTAGTACCTTTAGTTTTAGCTATTTGACAAAATGAAAGGACATCAATAAATTTAAAAATGAATGCAGAAGTTATTCCAGTTAAAGGTCAATTAGATATTAAAGTAAAAGCATCTCAAATTCAATAAAGTGGATTGAACATAAGGTAACAGTACAGGAACTAAGGCTTTCATCCAATAGGTTATTTTAATACATAGTATGGCAGTGGGTGATATATAAAAGTATGTAGAGGTCTTTAATTGAGTACCTTCTAGAACTTCTTGAGTGAAATGGAAACAGTAGATAAAATTGATATTTTGAGAGCGAAACCAGCCTTTCTGCATATGAGCAGTAAGACAGTTAAAATCACTAGGGTGTGATCCTTATTATAGCTATAGAGTTTATAGCCTGATAAATGGCCCCTGTTCTACCACAGAGAGTAATTCTAGTAACTGGACAGTTTGTTTTTCTCAAATCAGTCTCTGTTTCCCAGGAATAGCGTTGAATAAACATCCTCAAATTCTTAATCATCATCTTCTTTTTATTTTTTTCTGAGACAGAGTTTTGTGGACAGAGTCTTGCTTTCTATATTGCCCAGGCTGGAGTGCAGTGGGATGATCTCGGCTCACTGCAACATCTGCCTTCCAGGTTCATGCGATTCTCCTGCCTCAGCCTCTCAAGTAGCTGGGACAACAGGCATGCACCACCAAACCTGGCTAATTTTTTTGTATTTTTAGTAGAGACAGGGTTTCACCATGTTGGCTAGGCTGGTCTCAAACGCCTGGCCTCAAGTTATCTGCCTGCCTCGGCCTCCCTGAGTGTTTGGATTATAGGCGTGAGCCACTGTGCGGGAGCCCTCTTATTCTTCTGTAAAAGTCCTTCTCTCCTTGTCCACGAGGCTCTCATTCTTTCTTAGAATCATCACGACCACACCCAGGTCACTGAACTTGTTCACTCACATTCCTGGGCCACCTTAGGGATGAGTTCCTTCAGCTAGTGGCTGCTCTTAATCTATTGCCTGCAGATTTTTCCCAGTTTCAGTCAGAGGAATGTAAATTTCAAGGTTTTCGGATTTCTTGCTATCTTATGTGCATGTGAGCAGTAATCTGGTGACTTTTATTGCACTTACCACACTGAAGCCACTTGTCTAGTTATTTGCTGTTTCCTCTAAGTAGACTGTGTGCTCCTGCAGAGCAGACATTCCATATCTTGTTCACCATATCTCTGACATCTATCTAACTTGATAAAATTTTCCTCAAATTAATATGTTAGCTAATGTACCGCATTATAACCCACATGACAGAAGGGATCCAAGGAGGGAGTGATCTGCATGTAATCTGAATAGGCGTTTGGGCCAGTGGGTAAAGCGTGTGTTTGCATTTCTTGAGGAGATGGTTCCCCCGCAGCTGCCACAGACGCTCAGTTGTCTTGGTGCATCTTTCCCTGCAGTGAGTGGAGTGGAGACACCAGAGGATTGTTAAGTAACTGGTCCAGCCATGGTCTTTGGCCAGTGGCCTTTCCAGGCAGTGTTCTGTTTTTAATCTAACTTCCTAGGTAGTCTTTTGGCAAACTCCCAAAATGCCCACTAAAGAGCACTTTTGTCTCTGTAGCTATTATGTTTCTCATGGTAAATGGACACTCCAGGCTTCTATAAGTTGAATAACTTTGTATCAGTTTTGAGGAAATTCAGACAGAATGTTAGGTTGAGACTGTCTTTGATTCAGAGGGCATCTATTGTAGCCATCCTGAGAAGTCTTCTTTCTGACCAGTCTGAGTTGGGTTCAATCTGTGTACCCCACTGCAAGACTTCATGTGTTCCCTATACCTATCATCATGGTCCCCGTTCTCTGTTACATCTTTTTTTTTTTTTTTTTGAGACAGACTGCCACACCCAGACTGGAGTGTAGTGGTATGATCTCTGCTCACTGCACCCTCTGCCTCCTGGGATCAAGTGATTCTCCTGCTTCAGCCTCCTGAGTAGCTGGGACTACAGGTGCATGCCACAACACCTGGCTAATTGAATTTTTTTTTTTTTTTTTTTTTAGTAGAGACAGGGTTTCGGCATGTTGGCTAGGCTGGTCATGAACTCCTGACCTCAGATAATATGCCTGCCTCGGCCTCCCAGAGTTCTGGGATAATAGGTGTGAACCACTGCACCTGGCCATCTGTATGTGTTTATTTTGTATTTGACTTGAGAGAATCTGTGTTCTTTAGAAATTATTGTAATCTTTAGAGACACATACATGAAGCATTTAAGTCATGATGCAAGGCAGTAGTTGATTGAATACTGACAAAGTCTTCTTTGACCAAAACTTTGGTCATGCTCCTCTGTTCCTTCGAGTGAATGGGCAGTACCTTGGGCTTCCCTGTATTTTTGTTGAGTCCATTTGAAGCAAAAATCCTGTTAAATTCAGTTTAGGGAAAATTCTTCACCTGGGTATCTGACCACTCTCTCCTATCTTATTCTGTCGTCCATAATAATACTATCAAATTAATTTCACCATAAACCCCTTATCCTTGATATTTCTGTTTAGTAATCTTCTATCTACTGCCCCCACCCTGCTTCTTGGTTTTAAATCTCCACCTCTGTTGGAATCTGAGTTGGGTTCAGTCTCCGTCCCCCACTGCAAGATCCCATCGCAGTGTTCCCTGTACCTACCACCGTGGTCCCCCTTGATTAAAATCTGCTTTACCATCTCTAGCAAGTGTTGTGAGTAATGTTTTTAAATGGTACTATTAAGGTAACAGCACGCTGGAAAGCAAGGTGAAAAGTTCTAAAAGAGGAAGAAAGTTGAACTGAGTATGTGTTTAGAGTTGGAGTGTTGGATGATGTTCATTGGCTTTGAACTGGGCCCCAGAAAAGAGGTGGGATTAGGATAGGTAGGGAGGAAGAAGCAACAGAAGCAGCATTAGCAGAGAATGAGAACTGAAAGAATGCCTAGTGTTCAGGGAAGGGGCCTGGGCTAACCAATGCAAGCTCTGGGCTTTGCAGCTTGCTAGAACAGATGCCTGAATAAAGCTGCGAGAAGTCAGGAAACTTCATTTTGGCTGGACAGTTTGGATTTAGACCTATTTGTAGTATGGAATGGAGGGAGAGATCTGCATATGGTAGTTTGATGAGTTTGCCTCATGGGGTGTAATTAATTTGTTGTAGTAATAATTGGAAGTGGTAAGAAATCATAGTGTGGAGAAGAGGTGTTTAAAGCTTTCTGGGTACAAGTGGTTGAAGGACAAACCACGGGGCATACAGGAACTTCAAAGAGTCATAATATCAATCAATAAACTTTGGCAATTGGCTGTAAGGTAAGAATGGATGTATACTAAGAAAAAAATTGGCAGAAAGTAAGATTTTGAGTATGAAGATGCTACCCAGAATAATACACTGCGTTATACATAGGTTGGTAAGTATGGTGCTCAGCCCCAAATGTGCTCCTTTTTCATGAGTTCAAGACCAGCCTGATCCTTTTTCTGGCTACCTCCCCTTTGATCTTCAGGACTCAGCTCAGTCTTACCCGCCTCCTGTGTTTCTTTAGAACTCTGCATTTACCACTGCCAGGCACAAACAGTACTGAATTTCTCTTGCTTGTCTGTCTCCTCAACTAGCCCAGAAGCTCCATGAGGTCAGGGATAGTAATTTTCTTCCAGCACCTCCTAGTATGTGAGATATTCAGATGTTTGTTGGCTGCATTATGTGCCATTATATCTTCTTGCTGCTTTCTCTGGGGTGTCGTGAGTAGCCATTTTAATTGATTATTACTTATCCTACTACCATCTAGATAGTAATTAGCCATTGCCCTAAGAGTCAGGAAAGGTGATGATGCAGATGCTGGCTTTTAGTGGGGCAGATGTTTGCAGCATACAACCACTGTATTGTATAGCTTAAAGATAGTAACTTGTATTTTGATTTTCTGATACAGTAAGTAATCCTGGGTGAGATAAATCAGCTTGATGTCAAGATGTAAGTACATTAGAGCCACAGAGGAGGAAATTCTGCCGAGCACTAACCCCCATTACTGTGCCAAGTTCCCTGGAGAAGCAAATACGGCATTCTCAACCCTCATTACTCAAAATCTTCAGGGTGGATGAAAATGGATTTCATTAGAAGGAAAATACTATTTTTACTCTTCTTTTACTTGAATAATTTTGCTTAAGAGAGTATTTATGGGTGTTTAGGTGCATCATTCTATTTTGGCCAATGCTTGCGTTTTTTATTTAGTGACTGTTGAAGTGCTTCCTCAGGGAGTTGTGTTTGAAAACTGGGAAGTAAGCATTTTGATTCAAAAAGATTCTTAACTTCTTTAGGCTACTCTATTTAGGTAAATTTAAGTTGTCTGAATCAATAAAGATGTTTTCTTATTTCTAGCTAGGAAGTGTTTTATGAGCTTTCTCAGCCCCTCATTTCTCATAGCTCTCCTACCCTCTTACAAGGTCGCACATTTCATTATTCTTACTGTGTTGCATCACACTGTTACTTTTAAGGAATTCCTCTTCATATAGTACATTTTTATTTTTATTTTATTTTTTTGAGACAGTCTCGCTCTCACACCCAGGCTGGAGCATGACCACAGCTCACTGCAGCCTCGACCTCCCAGGCTTATGTGATCCTCCTGGTTCAGCCTGAGTAGCTGGGACTACAGGTATGCGCCACCACACCCCGCTAATTTTTTTTCTTTTTTTTTTTTTAAATAGTGATGGGGTCTCACCACGTTGCCCAGGCTGATCTTGAACTACTGACATCAGGTGACCCGCCTGTCTTGGCCTCCCAAAGTGCTGGGATTACAGGCGTGAGCCACCACGCTCGGCCATACCCAGCTAATTTTTAAATTTTTTTGTAGAGATAGGGGTCTCCTTATGTTGCTTAGTCTGGTCTCAATTCTTAGGTTTAAGCAGTCCTCCTGCCCTGGCTCCCCAAAGTGCTGGGATTACAGGTGTGAGACACCACGATCAGCCTAGTACCAATTTTTTTTTAACGCTGTTTTGTAATGTAGGCTTTGGGGAGCTGAAGCTGTTAGGAATGAGTAGTCTTCTGCCTTTCCCGTTTCCCTTTTCTGTCTTACTGGATCCTGAAGGGAGCCAGAGCAACCTTCTCTAGAAGGCTGGAGAGCTTAGCTGTCTGCAGTTGGTGTTTTTGGCACACACAGGGCAGAGAAGACAGTCCAATAGGGAGTGGGTCACAGGTGTTTCTTGGTCATGGAATCTGAGAGCTGGAGTGGGCGTGCCCCAGGCCAAGTTGTAGATTGCCTGGTTATGGGTGGTGAGTAGGGCTCTTGGAAAAGGGTTGGGAGTGGCTTTTAGGACTTGCCTACAGCATGTAGACTATGCCTACAGCATGAAACCCCAGCTTCCAAAGTATGTCCATAACATAGCTCATAACCCATATTGATCAGGACTCATGTCCTGGCTTTCTCTGGGTGCATTGTTTTAATGGCTTTTAAATAATCAATTGATAAAAACCCACAGACTTTAGCTGGGTGAGTTTCTCAGGAAGAAAATATAAAATATGGCTGGGTATGGTGACTCACGCCTGTAATCCCAGCACTTTGGGAGGCCAAGGCAGGGTGATCACAAGGTCAGGAGTTCAAGTCCAGCCTGACCAACATGGTGAAACCCCGCCTGTACTAAAAATACAAAAATTAGCTAGGTGTGGTGGTGCATGCCTGTAATCCCAGGTACTCAGGAGGATGAGACAGGAGAATCACTCGAACCTGGGAGACAGAGGTTGCGGTGACCTGAGATTGCACCACTGCACTCCAGCCTGGGCAACAGAGTGAGACTTCGTCTGAAGAAAAACAAAAACCATATATATATATATATATATATATATATTTTTTTTTTTTTTTTAGAAAAAATAATTTTTTTTTTTTTTTTTTTTTTTTTTTTTTTTTTTTTTTTTTTTTTTTTTTTTTTTTTTTGAGATGGAGTTTCGCTCTTGTTACCCAGGCTGGAGTGCAATGGCGCGATCTCGGCTCACCGCAACCTCCGCCTCCCGGGTTCAGGCAATTCTCCTGCCTCAGCCTCCTGAGTAGCTGGGACTACAGGCACGTGCCACCATGCCCAGCTAATTTTTTTGTAGTTTTAGTAGAGACGGAGTTTAACCATGTTGACCAGGATGGTCTTGATCTCTTGACCTCGTGATCCACCCGCCTCGGCCTCCCAAAGTGCTGTGATTACAAGTGTGAGCCACCGCGCCTGGCCAATATTGTAGTTCTAGATTAGGGACCTGAATGGATGAATCGTGTAGATTGATTATATAAGTGTAGTACAGAAAAAACTTCATCTACTTTTTTAGGTTCAGTTTATATGAGTCGAATTAAAATGACAAAAGACACTACAGGAGAAAATGCAAACTGATTTTCTGATGCTGATATTTTTATGTGTGAAGTTGGGGTAAGGGGAGAGAGACTTTACCAAAAAGAAGTGACAAACCCAAAAAGATGTCAGGTTAATTAGTAATTTTAATTTGGAAAAGGATTTTGTATTTGTTCAGAGAGCTGTCCTGTGTGAATGTAATGGTGAGATCATCTGTGTAAGTTCATTGACTGGCCATTCTGTCTAAGCCCACTGCCTTCTTACCTAAGAAGACCTTTCTCTTGCTTGAGGGTAGTGCTAGAGTTCTGTTATCACCAGCTACCTGGGAGGAGTCAGCCAGGTGTGCTGGGTCTTTATACAAACTGACTTCTTATTTTGGCTACATTTGGTTGTATTTGTCCTGAAGGGAGTTGAGGTGAAGTGGAGTGGAAATAGTACTGGATTTGGAATTAAAATCTCCATTCCCAGAACATGACCTTGGGGAAGTTGCTGCTTAACCTTTCTTGGCTTTAGTTTCTTAATGTGAAGGGGAGGGATCTGGATCAGAATTGTATAATGTCTATTGTCCCTTCCTGTTCCAGTTGTAAATTGCTGAGGGGTTGGAGGTGGCTAGAGGAGACATTTGCATTCCCATTACTCCATTTGTTTTGTTTCTTTTGGCTTTTAGGGTTGTTTTAGAAAAATTTGCCTGAGAAGCATAATTATGCCCAGTGCAGTGTAAATATTCACACATCCAGGCACAACCCCACCCCACCCCCCACATGTACGCATAAAATATGAATCTGTCTGTAGTGAGGAAGCACAGTACAGTGTCCATTGCTGTGGATTTTTTTCTGCAGTGCTTGCTGCCAGTCAGCTAAAGACCCCTGGAGTAGTTATAGTAATAATGACACAGGAATATAGAAAGAGATCTGGCACCTTTGGGAGACCTGCTGATACGTGACTTCTCTACCCCTCCCCCTCCTTTTTAAACCTGGTCTGTTAATGATTGCACCTAATTATGTATCTTTGGTCTTTTTACTGTTTACAATTCAAATGCTACTTAAAGCCTTTTGTTTTCTGTAAATTCTGGGCTGCCATCTGAAGCACAACTTGATGATTCTGTATTATCATCTTGGGTTAAGTGCTGTCTCATTGCTTTGCAGGCTGCCTGCTGTTTCCCGGGGAGATCATGAAACGAGGTCGCCTTCCCAGCAGCAGTGAGGATTCTGACGACAATGGCAGTAAGTCCTGCTTTGTTGTTCTTGGAGCCTACCAGGGTTTGGGTCAGAGTAAAAACATGATTTTTTAATGTAGTGCTTTAAATAGCTGAGGCCCTTTGCATATCAGGCAGGTCAGAGAAAGCCAAAGCCTGGAGAAACATACCTGAGTGTGATACTGCAGGTCTGTAACCAGATCTTACTGGGTAAGGTTGACTGCAGGGAAGCATTCCTGAGGCTTCCTGTTTGTTATCCTGGGAGGAATACTCCAGTTCCAAGAGTCATTGGTGTGTCTGGTTTTCCTAAACATCATTTATGGTACTTCGCAGTTGCTCTTTATGAAAAGGAAACTTAATCAAAGCCAGGTAATCATTAACTGGTTCAACTGAATACAAGGGGAGATGGAAGACTGCTTAGTGTGATATGAAAATTATTAAGTACAGGTTCTTAATAGGTCGCAAGTCTCTGCTTTTCACTTGATTTTAATGTGACTGTATTTAATACTATTTCTGTCTGTATCTCAGCGCTCTGGCAACTTCATATTTTCACAGTGCAGCTGAGAACCAGAAGTTAGTTGGCTTCCAGGCAGTCAAAATAAATATCACACAGTGTCTGTGTATTGAGAAGCTAACAGATTACTCAGAGAAGAGCTCCCCTCAGATAACAGGGAAATTTTGCACCTAGCACAGTGCCTGAGCTTTAACCCATTAGCTTATGTTTAATGTTACAAATTAAACCCAGGCCACCTTGAAAGAATGCTTGCTGCACTATGTGATGGGAAAGGAGCTGGGCCTGCTTTCAAGGAACTGTACTTTAGACATATGTAAGAACAGGTCTGATGTGAAAGTCATCAGGGCAGTAATAGAGATGTCTTTTTGATGCACTGTGGAAACAGTTACAGATTCAGAGGAGAGGAAGGCAGGGAAACTTGTAGAGGAGATGAAGGTTTTATAGATCCTGAAGGATAAAATACTTTTTAGGCAAATAGGGTTGTTTGTAGTTATCTGTGCTCTCTTAAGTTTTCAAGCAAATTAAAAGCTGCACATTAGAAAGCCAGGCTTTCCTGCTGTAGGGGCCCACCCTGTTCAGAAGACGGGACCAGGAACATGAAGAATAGATCTCAGTGCAGTATTTCGGTTGGTGCTTGGCACAGGCATGGGGCTGTTGGGGAGTAGAATTGGCCATTATGGGAGGGTGTCAGGTGTGAAGGGCTTGCGATGAGGAGCTCTAAGGAATTGGGAGTTTTAGGACTGATTGCTGATGTTGGCAGCAGGAGAGAAGTGAACTAGTTGAGAGAGGTTGTAGGGGCTCCTGAGGGAAAGACTTTCCTCTTACTTCAGGAAAGGTATTGAAGGTCTGTTTCCAAGTGCAGGCAGGAAAAGCCACCTGTCTGAGCCTTTGGGATGATACCTTCCAAACTTCTGAGACACTTGTTATTTCATAGCCCTCCTTACTTGTTTTCTGATGTTTATAGTTTTAGGCATTTTACTCTTTTTTTTTTTTTGAGATGGCATTTCGCTGTTGTTACCCAGGCTGGAGTGCAATGGTGCAATCTTGGCTCACTGCAACCTCTACCTCCTGGGTTCAATGTGCCTCGATGTGACTAAATTGGATTAGGGCCCACACTAATAGCGTCATTTAACTTAATCACCCCTTTTAAGGCCCTGTCTCCAAATATAGTCACATTCCGAGATTGGGGGTTAGGGTTTCAAAATATGCATTTGGGGATGGGAGCTACAATTCAGCCCTTAAAAGCCCTAGAAGACCAAATATTTCATCTAAAATATGTATGTTCAGGCCAGGCACGGTGGCTCATGACTGTAATCCCGACACTTAGGGAGGCTGAGCTGGGAGGATTGCTTGAGCCCAGGAGTTGGAGACTAGCCTGGGCAACAAAGTGAGAACCTGTCTCTATTAAAAAAAACATTCCACATAGAACTCTGCTTAGAAAGGAAGGAGGAAGACAGTGTCCACAGACCCCACTAAAAGTGTGTCTGTCAAGTCACAAGCCTGTACAGGCCTCCGTCAAGAAGCTGTGGGTGGAGAATTAAGGTCAATATTTATAGTTTACCAATGGGTTAGCCCAGGCTATGGAAATTTGGTAGCATGGGAGAGGAATGGTAGCTGCTAGTAGAAGGTCGGCAATCCTTTTGTCATACAGCTGGTTCAATGTAAAGTACACGTTGATGCTTCATGGCCATGCTGTCTGTCCAGGCTCAATGATTTGATAATTATGGTGGATGATGGTAGTGGTAAACTATCAGTTCTCATTAAGAACCCCTGGAATGCCAGGCTTATAAAAAGATGGACATGCTCATTGCCATGGAACATACCCCTTTCCATCCCTTCTGAAGGCAGCCGGTTAACAGTGTAGGCCTCTGCCGCCAACCCACTCATTTGTATTGGTGTCTTCCTTTTGTATATAACTGGGTGGCCTGCGTCAGGGGACATGCCTTCTGTCCCTGCATTCAGGTCCACAAAATGAGTCCTACCTGGGTCAGCTCCCCATACCCTGCCTTCCTTTTGCCAGGCCTGTGCATTTGGAAAGTTCTGCTTACAAGAAGAACAGGGTATATGCAGTGGCCACACCTCAGCCTCTCCAGTCTGCAGGCCTGACAGAATTTTGGCAGCGGTTCCCAGCCCAGTGCAGACCATGTCCAAGTGGAGGGGAAGCAGCTGCAGACGTCAGCATGGGGCTGCAGCACCAGCCATAGCCATAGCTGGGACTTGCTGGCCTCCGGTCTGGAGCCCTTTGCCTTGTTTTCTGGTCTGGTTCAGAGGAATACCAGTATAGCGTTATAGTTGTGGACAGACAGGCATTTTCTGTGCCAGGTGCAAGTCCTTATCCAGCTGCAGTCATAGTTGAAACCTTTCTCCAGGTGCCCTGGAGACCCAGCCCTGCAGTTGGATGGAGTAATGGTGGGGTTTTTGCAGGCAGCACCTGTAGTTGCTGGGCTCCAGGGACTGGGTGGCTCAGCTAGTCTCTGAAGCTACACATTGTGCCAGAGTGTGGCCAAGGGAAACAAGCCCTTAATTTTTTGCCTTCCAGCCGAGGATCCTGTCCTTAGGGATTTGGCAAATGTGGGAATGGGGTTTACCAACTACTTTCGGTACACAGTTGACCCTTAAGCAGCTCCCCTCAACCCTGCAAATCAAAATTCTGTGTAAAAGAACTGCTAATAGCCTACTGTTGACCAGATGCCTTACTAATAATATAAACAAATCAACATATTTTATATGTTATATGTATTATATACTGTATTTTTACAATAAAGTAAGCTAGAGAAAATATTGAGAACATCATAAAAGAGAGGAAATATATATACATATTAAAAATATCCTATTCAGTAAGTGAAAGTAGATCATCATCATAAAGGTCTTCATGTTGAGTAAGTGGAAGAGGAGGTGGAGGAAAGGAAGGTGTTGGTCTTGCTGTCTTAGGGGTGGCAGAGACAAAATTGTCATGTAAGTGAACCGGGCATTTAAACCCTGTGTTGTTCAAGAGTCAGCTGTATTTCTGCAACCTAAAGGACATTTCATTTCATCTTTAATAAACCTGCAGAGGCTAAATTAAAACATCAAGTATCCTTGTTTTTAGCAGGAATTATTTATTTTTGGTTATCTAAGGCCAATAGTAGCTCTGATCAGCACTTTTATTTTTGAGACAGAGTTTTGCTCTTGTTGCCCAGCTGGGGTTCAATGGTGCAATCTTGGCTCACCGCAACCTCTGCCTCCCAGGTTCAAGCGATTCTCCTGCCTCAGCCTTCTGAATAGCTGGGATTACAGGCATGTGCCACCACACCCAGCTAATTTTGTATTTTTAGTAGAGATGAGGTTTCTCCATGTTGGTAAGGTAGGTCTCGAACTCCCAACCTCAGGCAATCCGCCTGCTTTGGCCTCCCAAAGAGTTGGGATTACAGGTGAGAGCCACTGCACCCAGTCCTTTGTTTTGAGAGGGAGTCTCACTCTGTTGCCCAGGCTGGAGTGCAGTGGCCTGATCTCTGCTCACTACAACCTCCGCCTCCCAGGTTCAAGTGATTTTCCTGCCTCAGCCTCCTGAGTATGACCAGCATCTTTATATATATATATATGTAGCAAATGGTGTTTTTGTTGGTTTTGGTTGTTTTTAAATTGGTGCCACTCAAAGGTCCAAAGGGAGATTGGTCCCATTCCTTCCTTCAAAAATAATGATAGAAGTGTGCTGACATGTTAAGATTTTCATAAAGTTGTAGAGCAGGGTTTCTTGTTCTTGTCTGACTTCCTTAAATTTCGGAGATTTGTTGGCTTTCTGTGGGAAGAAGGTCTGGAGCCAGGCTCCATGTGGGTCCTCCCTGGTCTCCTGTTTCTACACCTGAGCTAGGGTAGAAATGCTTTGTCTCCCCACCTATCAGAGCCAGGCTCTGCCCCAGCACCTGTAATAAGGAATGGGCAGAAGGGACGCAAACTGGCATTTAAAATTAGTAATTTTCCCACTGCCTTGGACTTGGACCTCAGCAGAAATGGAAATGTTTGTGTGTCAGTTGGTTGAAGGCCTAAGTGTGTTTAAGTATGTTGAAACATTTCTAGGCCAGTTCTTTGAACGTATGTACAGTGCTTTTGTTTGGAAGTGGAAGTGAGTTGGGCTGTAAAGCTGGGCTATGCTGGGGTAAAAAACTATGGTACAGGGTCAGCCCCTGATCTAAACGGCAGTTACATCAGATGCTTATCTTCTATTATGCAGCTAAAGCAAATAATCAGTAACTAAATTAAATTTGCTTAATTTAAGATGAGAATTAACACAGCATTGCTTTACTCTAATACAAGGCTAGCTTGGCTTCTAAATAACTCATAGGTGTGTTGTTTGTCAGTTCTGTGCGCCCTTGCTGTGACACCAGACTGCTGGACTCGATACTTGCCAGTTTTAAGCATCTTATTTTGTTAAGCTGGTTTAACACCCCTAAAGACAGATATCAGCATACTATTTAGTGACCAGAACAGCGACTAAGACAGGAGGACCGCCGTTTGATCAGTGGCAGGGTTCTTTTGTAGTCTGCATTTTGTTGTGCAGCAAACACGAATACTGCCATTCATTCTAATTTTTGAACCTTTCGTGCATGGCACAACATGAGAAGCTTATCGCACATCAGCTACCAAATGTGGAAGAGGTGTGCAGTATGTGTTAGATTTACTCTTGAGGTTTTTCTTATTTTAGATCTAGGGCAAGACAGCATGGCTATTTTTAATATTTCAAATGGGGAGTGAGTGTTGGCAGTGTCTGTATAATAGGACCAGAAAGAACGTTATGCCTGGGCAGAGTCCATGCTCATACAGTACTACGATCTGTGAGCCTTTTGTAACTTTATATTAACCCAAAGGATTCTGTTTTAATGGAAGTTGGGGTTATTAAAAACAAGACAAAATATTTTTCCCCACTCAGTCTTTCCCGTGTTTAACATGAGGTAATGTAATATAGATTTGTTCTTAACTGAACAGTGTATATGTCAAGAATTTAAAGTCATTTAAATTTGTCAGTAAAGTGAACTTAGCTAATAATTTTACCTTTTGAGTGGCGGTAAAATACTTTTAGACCTTATTAGCAGATTTTTAGAGTTCCCAACTCCTTTCCTGAAAGGGAAAAGAAAGTAAAACAATTTTACTTGTCATATACTTAGTTTGTCATTATCAGCACTCTGGAAACAAACAAAATGCAAACCAACTCAGCAGAATCTTACCACGAAGTTTTTAACAGTAGCAAGCACAGTTTTTAGCAAGTGCGTGGTGTTTTGCTGTAGCATAAACCACTGACTTCTGGTTTTTTTGGTATTTAAAATACTCTAATTTCTGTTTTGACCCCACTGTCCTACCTGCAATATTATCCAAAAATTGTTTATAATTTTTGTTTTAATTAAAAGGGAGTATTCATTATTTTGGTTTTAATAATATTCTGGTAGTTTCCTGACCACCTGGGAAGTGTCTGGGGAGAGCCTGGCTGTAGAAAGAGGTGTTGGCGTAGCAATGTCAAGACACTCCTTTGAGCCTCTAGCCTGTGGCTTTCCATGAATGTTTCTGTAGCTGCAGGTGCATTCTAAGCAGGAAGCACTGGCTCCACAAATCTATCTGTAAATGTATTATTGCTTTATTTTCCTTGAGCTCAACAGCATATCTTCTGTTAGGTGAAACAGGAGTATATTCCTAGTGCCTGCCACCTTCAGTTCATGCGTTAGTTACAGTGATGGTTAGAGCATGACTGAGGGTCCTCAACAATGACACTTAAAAGAAATTATCCACTTTTCAAAGAAATATTGAGAATCTGCTGTGTGCACAGCACTGACTGACTTAGCTATGCTGTGTGTTATAAATTGTGCGTCTTACACCAATGGCTCTTTATAGATTAACTTTTTGATATAATAAGAAAATGAGAAGGAATAGACCACCAACAACAAATACCTGCTTCTGGACTTTGGAAGGCAGAGCAGTTCCCTCAGGTTCACAGCCCACACCCAGATTCTCACTTGGTTCAGCAGCAAAGTCTAGGTTTTTATACAGACCACTTGTGTAAAGTAAAATAGAATATTTTCCCCCCTTACTGTTAGTGGATGATATCTCAGTGATAAATGTTTAATAGCTTTATTGAGAAGTAATTGACATGCTTCTGCCTTGGCCTCCCAAAGCCTCTGAGCCTCATGTATTTAAATTGTGTACTTTGATATGTTTTGACGTGTTTACACCCATGAAATCATTGAAATCAAGATAATCCTTCCCACTTTTCTGTAGTCTTCCACTGATCTAGTTTTTGTCACTATAGATTAGTTTGCATTTTCAGAATTGTATGTAAAATGGAATAATACAGTATGCACCCTTTTTTTTTTTTTGAGGGGTGTCTGTCTTCTTTCACTCAGGATGATTACTTCAGCATTGCATTCTGATATGTGTATCAGTAGCTCATTCCTTTTTATTGCTGGGTAGTGTCCCATCCTATGGATATACCAGAGCTTATTCACAGTCTGTTAGTGGATGTTTAGGTTGTTTCTGATATTCGGCTCTTATAAATAAGCTGCTAAGAACATTCCTTATGCCAGTGATAATTTAAATTTAGTTTCTTTACCAGTCTTTTCCTTTCTGCAAAGTGAGTTTAATAGGATTAATTTTGCTTTTCCTCCTTCTGTATTGTATCATCTATCAACACTAGGTAAATTAAGAGGAAAGGGAACAGTACTTTTGGGTGGACTAGAGTTTCTCTTGGTTATTACTGTTGGATACCAAATATGTAGCATCTTTGTGTATCTGTTTTTAAAAGCAAATGTGTCCTAGACAGCAATTTTCAGGATTTTAAAATTTTTTTCTATTTTTGTTGTTTGAGACAGAGTCTCACTCTGTCACCAGGTGCCAGGCTGGAGTGCAGTGGTGCGATCTTGGCTCACTGCAACCTCTGCCTCCCAGGTTCAAGCAATTCTCTTGCCTCAGCCTCCCAAGTATCTGGGAGTACAGGCGTGCACCATCATGCCCAGCTAATTTTTGTATTTAAGTAGAGATGGGGTTTCACCATGTTGGCCAGGATGGTCTCAATCTCTTGACCTCATGATCTGCTTTCCTTGGCCTCCCAAAGTTCTGGGATTACAGGTGTGAGCCACTGTGCCTGGCCCAGTATTCAGGATTTATAAAAGCAGTACTAGGAAAAGCTTTCAAATGAGTGTCATTATTTGGGTTGTGTTCTATGCCAGCAAAGCTGCAAGCTTCCTGGGAACCTTGGAAACTACTTGGGAGGGATCCTGACAGATCCTCAAGAAGAGACAAGAGGGTCAGAAAACCTAAGAATGAACAAGTTTGTTGTTTCTTATTTAACTCTGAAAGTATTTGACTCTGAAGACCCTCTTCTCCCCACTTCATGTTAATTTTTAAAGTATAGCAATGGAGTGATTCTCTAAATTTCTGGCTTTGTTCCTTATCATTTGTAACCTTTTCCATAGTAATTCAAAGCAGAGGAGGATCATCCCATTTTGTTCTGCTTCTCTTCCCTTCCCTAAACTTTCTGGGAATTCCATCCAGACACTGCATGTGCTTTTCCTCGTCTCTTCTTTCAGGCTGTGGGACCAGCTGGAGGATGGCCTCCAGGACCACAGGGAGAAAGAGAGGCCTCTTGATAGACCCTAGGAGCCACCCAGCCATCTTAATCTCCAGGTTCCTAACTTGGCGTCTGTCTTCCCTTTTTCTAATAATAACCAGATTTAGAACTTCTGCAGGTTGGGTTCACCCCAGTGTGCCCAGAATATTTCTTTCAATGTGGGAGTGAAATATTCTTGTTCATTTAGAGTCTAAAGAGGCACACTTAGTATTTTTTGAAAAAATAATTTTCTAAAACATTACTGAAATGCCAAGGGGCCAACAGCAGGAGCTCCAGTTCTGCTGATTGTGCTGGCGGAACAGCAGTCAGTTGACCTAGTAATGAGCCTCAGAACTGGTGCTCAAGGGTAGTGCCGACCTCATCTCTGTCAGGGAAGCATGGCAATCCCCTTTAGTCTTGGTCATTGCAAATCTGATGATAGGCTTATGTGCAGAATCTATTTCTTAAGGTCCCCAAGGTCTTAAGGCTGCTTTGATTCTCTGTCCCTGTCTCTGGATTCTGTAGAGATAAGAGCTTCCTGTTTGAGGGACAATGATTTCACTGGCAGAATGGCAGTCAACCTTAAGCTTTTGGCTTTTATTTTTTCTGGATTTTGTTAATTTCTGGAAAATGGAACAGTATGTGTTCAGGAATGGGGTGATTATTAAAAATAGGAGGTAGAGGTGAATGAAGTTGGACAGATACTACATGTGGCTGTTAGGGCTCTTTCAGATCTCTGGCAGCAGTATGGCACCCACAAACGGAAGGTTTTGCACTTAAGTTGTCTTCGTAACAAATTAACAGGAGGCAGAGGCAGAGATGGAGTAGAGGTGCTAGAATTATCGGGAAGTTGAATTGACCCAGCCATTGATTGTGCCCTGAATGAGAAGAGTCTAGGAAGACTCTTAGATTTCTGATGTCAAGTAGAAATGATGGTAATAGTCATCAAAGTAGGGATGTAAGAGGCAGGGGGCAGGTTTGGTTTTTGTAATGCTGAGTTGACAGATCTAAGGTATACCTTAGGGTTCATGTCTAATGTGGAGGTGAAACTGTATCTGGAGCTTGGGAGGGAGGTTAGTCTGG